TGCCACCACCAATAAACTTATTTGAATAAGAAAAATCCATAATAACAAATGGTAGTCTCTATTGAAAGAGCCATATTGAATCTGAACTCTGAACTAACAAGACCGATCTGTGAATGAATTATTGGTACACCAGAAATAGCTGTATATGTCATTTGTAATCATTAATGAAATACAGTTAACTTTGCATTTATTTAAAGCCAATCCAATTTGCCAATTAATGATATATCCCAGTACTGCAAAAACAGCGTTATAATATGCATTAAATACAAGAGATCTGATACCAGAATAAATTCTAGCAGCCAACTGTTTAAGTGACTGGTATGAGGCTTCTTGGGAGTAAGTAATCAGAGGGTTGTGGAGTGGGTGACAACTGTATTTGTACAGTTTATTACCTCGTACAAAGTCTCATTTTAAAAATAGTACACTGCAGTTAATCATTAAAATTTCTAGGAAATAGATCTTACATGCAGGTATATAAAATGTACATGTATATGTGTGAGCTCCAGAAATGTGCTTGCATTTTATTTCCATAAATAATGCAGGAGGTGAGCAAACATAAAATTATTTTAATTAACTTGCATATCTTATGCAGATTGCATCATCAATCTACTTGGTTTTATTATTATATTCTTCACAACACTTGAATATGGTGCCATGACAGGCAGTATAGCAGTAGTAAATGGGGACTGCTGCTGAGGAGAAGAGTACCACTGGTAGATGTTGTATTGGACGCATGACAGTGAAATTGGCATTGTGCAGGCATGTGGTAGCTCATTGGTCATGCATGCACAGGGTACTGCTGTCTAGTATTTACACAGTTGCATGTTAGTGACAGTGCCACCTGTTGAAGTGAGCATCTCAGCATGCCTGAACATGGGGGGCACTACATCACTCTTAAGTGTGTAAAGATGTTATCTCCTTGAATGGGATAACTCTCTTTGTCTTAATCTGGGAGCTGCCCTCTGACCTTTCCTCTTTCTTTGTCCTCCCACTCTCTTTGCACATGGCCTTCCATGGAGACACATGTCTCTACATGTCTCTCCTGTAGATACAATGCCTTCAGACGCCCACAATATGATGCTGGACAAGCTGGCCATTTGTGATAGGGAAATAGGGTTGCCAGGTCCAATTGTCCTGGAGGCGGGGGGTGGAAGGGAGCAGTCTGGGAGTGCACGGGGGAGCATTATTGCTACACGTGATGTTGTTGGTGTGATGATGTCACATGGAAGTGACGTCATCACACTGAGGATGTCACGTGTTGATGCTCTAGCATTTTGCCTAAAACTGCATGGTTACCATAGAGGGTTTTTTGCAAAAATGCAAAAATGGCCAGACTGGGGGTCTGGCAACCCTATAGGGAAAGTACAGTTTAGATTAGGCTTCTTTCTTTTCTTTTAACTGCAACCTGAATGTGAACTGGATCTACTTGAATAAACGTAAGTTTTTTGCAATATACTTCTTCAGAGATTCATTTACTGCACTCAGTGTCACTTTTCTATGAATGGGTAAAACTCTGCTATATTAACCAACTCTAGGGCTGCCAGGTTCCTCCAGGCAGCCAGCAGGGGATGGAAGGTGGGCTTACCGGGAGCAGAAAGTCTCATTGCATGCTTTAGCGATGTGCCCATATGACTTCCAACCAATGCTCCTTCTAAGCTGTGGAGCCTTGTGAGCAAAAATACTACTTTGTGAGCTACTGGCATTAAAGTTGTGAGCAAGCAGTTTGGCTGCTGAATCAATTAGTTTGCTCTGGAGCCATTCTTTCTGAGCTAAGACAGAGCCATTCTTTCTGAGCTAAGCCAGAGGCTAAAAAAAACTATGAGCTAGCTCTAGGGTTGCCAAGTGTAAATTTCTCCGGAGCAGGGGACTCCCGTCTGGTGTCTGGAGTGTGCGCGCGCTTTGTGTGCGCGCCTCACCCGGAAGTGACGTGACACCGCTGGGCACGCTGGGGGCGGGGCCATGACCACTTTTGGGTCACGTTGAAGCCACATAGGCATGTTGCGGAAATCAGGTGTTCCTCCCTCTTTTTTTGGGGGGGGGAATTCCTCCCCCGCCAGCCAGCTGATCAGCGGCAGAGAGGTGTGTGTGGCCTGGCAGCAGGGGACTCCCATTCCCACTGTGGGGGGGTCTGGCATCCCTAACCAAATCTCCCAATACCACCATGCAGTGCCTACTGATAAAGGTGGAAATTGCTTTACTTCCCTCTCTGCTAATCAGAACTAGTTATTTATCATTGCCCTTGCTGTTATGCACTCAGTATCTTCAGAATGCATGATACTATGCTGTTATAAGACATAAAGAAACTTTTAATTGAGCATAAGATTCCAGCTAACTTTTAGTCCTCTCCAATTATAGCCTCAACTCTGTTCTTGTACTGGCAAGACCCCCTCCAGCAAAGGGGTATACAGTGCTGTTGTAGCCCCCCACCAACTCAAGGACAGGAGATTGTTTTTTCTGCTGGTGTAGCATGGTACTTTGTGTGGAAGACAATATTGGAGTGATCTTTTTCTGTCCATTGGGCATAACTTGTAGATAGGATCATGCTGCAAAACTGCAATCCTAGGAGCATTTATGTGGGAGTTATTTCCCTAGAATTCAGTGGACTCTGCTTCCAAGATTGACTTTAAGAATTCTAAATATAACCCCTCACAGCAAAATAATTCACAAGCTGGATAGTGTAGAGCCCTTGTTTAGTTTTCTTTGTGTCTGTTCTCTGATTCTCATAAATTATAGGTAACTTGTTTCGCTGACTTCAGTGGGATTAAAGTGCAGTAAATTAGGATAACTAACCTGATGTGCAACTAATTTGTTGGATGTGGGAAGGGAAGCACTTACCCTGTTTAGAAAGTGGTGCATAGGACACTTACTCAAAAGAGCAGAGCATGGGTTTGCTCACTAGCTTGTTTGGTTGGTTGACACTGTTTGTTGCAGTAGCTATCGGGTTTTGCCTATTTATTTACATATTTGGAATATTTCTGTGCTGCCTCTTCAGAGTCCTGCTTGAGGCGGCTTACAGTGCTACCCTTGTAATGTTTATTATAGGCTTAGTGTTTGTGTGCCACTGTACTGTACAGGGTTCTGAAGAAATTCCTTTTTTTCCTGGGAAGTCTGAAATGAGCAAAACCTCCATATTGCTTTTTAAACGTTTTTTCCCCTCTGGGCAGAAACCAGGCTAGGGTGGGGGATTGCTTCCCAAAAGTACCTTAGCTCACCTTCATACAAATACTAATAGATCTTGCAGACGAGATAATGGGTGGGTCAAGATCTTCCCCTTCTCCAAGCAGGGAACAGAGACTGGGAGGAATAGAACACTAGAAAGGCTTCAGGAAAAAGATTCCAGGAAATGCCTAGGCTTGCCATTTTCCCCCGGGGGTGGTGGGGGTTAACCCGCTTTAGGAGCCCCCAGTCTGCCGGCCCAGATTCGGCCGGTGGGGGGAATCCCACCCCCAAAATTCTAGGATCGCATATGACACATTGTCAGGGGGACGCTCTAGCTCTTGGCCTAAAAACTCTATGGTACTGTATGGAAGAGGCTCCATCCCTCCGCTGGCAGCAGGTAGGGACCTGACAACCCTAGAAACACCTCTTTGACCTGGCATGACCTGATCAGTGGGTGGAGAAATAGAGAAGATAGAACTCCTGGGAGCCAGGAAGAAGCTTTCTTTTCCTTGGGTGCTGAGTCCATGAACGCACTCAGACCTCTCCACTAGGAAGGCAGCCATTGACCATGTGATCACCTAAACAGCTAGAGCAAGCTTTAAGGTAATGAAAACTGTAGAGATCTGTAACTTCTTAAGCTAAAGAGCCTATCTTATATTTTAATATCTGATAGGGCATGTATAGAGAAAGAGACAGAGGATTGGTGTTTTACCCATTTATTTTGTATTCCTTGATCAATCTGGTGCTGTGGTAAAAGTATGCTTGTAAACATTTTCTTTTTATTAAATACTTTATAACTTTTGATACTGGTAGTGGTTCTCTGTACCACATAGATCTCCACCGTCTAGGATGCGCACTTTTAAAAGGAGTTCCAGGGGGAAGGCAGGCAGTTGGAAAGTGGCTATTCCTCCAGGGGCACACAAGGCAGTAAACTGTCTCCATGGTGACCAGACGCTGGGCAGCAGGAGACACAAAGGCAAGGCCTCAGAACTTGGAAGAGAAGCTGGGAGTCTTGACCTTCCAGTGGGCAATTCCATACAGAGGTCAGGTGGTGGTTGCGGGTTACCCAAGAGAGAAAGAAAGGTCTTTCCAGGTGTTAAGAAAAACCTAGGAGGGCAGGGCAGAATAGGGCTTGCAGGCCAGAGCAGGCATGTTTTGCCACAAGGGGAAAATTGGGATATACATATTTCAAATAAATAACTTTATCTGGACTGGGGACAATTTCTTAAACTTAACTCAGTGAAACTACTCTGGAGTGGATGATATTTTTTGAACTGCAGACTGTGTCCTTTGTTACTGGCTCCTCTTTATGGTGTTTTTCATACATTTTATTTTTAATAGAAGTCTGCTATATTGGCTAAATCATACACGTATGGAGAAAAAAATCATATATTGCATTAGATTCATAGGTATTATTTAGTTTTGTTTAAGGCATTCATCTTGTTATTCTGTAATCAAAATGGACTCAGAAATACTATTTTCTGTATTCAAATATAGTTTCCATGTTTTCCAGTCTTGCTTTAGCATATGCTTTCAGATGCTGGTAATTCTATTAAATCAAATTCAGTACAATTTGAATGTCCTGTTTAGTTATTTTAAACTGTAATACAGCTATAAAGGTGCTAGTGAGAAATAGTCATGTTACCAGTTTGGGGAAATGACTCCAAAATTCTCACTCCTGGTGACATGAATAAATGCCTGTCATGTATAACAATGTATTGTAAACAGGCATATCATTCTCTTGGGAAGGCAATAACATTTTTACTAGTAAGTTTTGAGGTTTTTGTCAGTGAATTCTCTGAGCTGCTGGTTGATTGATTTTTCTTTTTTCATTGTTCTAGATGCTGAAGAGTATCAGCCTCCAATATGGAAATCATACTGTGAGTATGGGAAACTGGAAATCAGGGATGGGAGGCGGGCAGGGTGCCAGAGTTTGGAGAGATGCTTCCAGACATGAGAAAGGCATCAAGCATGGTTTGGAAGACCTAGAAGAGATAGAAAAGTAAATGGAAGCACATATAAGAGATATAACTGAAGGACAGATCCTGGTATGATTCTCAAAATACCCTTTGGGAGCTCTTAATTCTTTTTTTTAACTAACATAACATTTAACATATACATTGAAGTCAGTGGGCTTAAAAGATTGTAACTCTGGTCAGGATTGCATTGTTAGATGCTGTTAGATCATGTAGCTTATATTTTAATCATATTCAAGAGTGAAAGAGAGAAAAAAGTTCTTTCCAATCTGATGCCAGGAGCTTAAAATACCTCCTTCTTCATAAACCTGATTCCTTTTTTACCATGCTCACTTTTTGCAAGCTAAAACAACAGTTGTTGAAAGCCTTGCATTTTTCTTAACTCTGGCAGCAGTTCCCAAACTAAACAGTTCATTCCAGGCAAGTCCATTGATTCCTTGGAACTTGTTTTTTTACATATCTGAAGGTATATTGAATAAATTATCAATCATATCTTTAGAAGAATAGAACTGATATTAAGTAGACAAATATACACTGGGAGTTTCCAGGGAGTGTATCCAAGGCTTTCACGTGTCAATGTCAGAGAATAGTCTGCCCAACCCGGCCAAAGGGTGAAGACACAGCTGGGGAGCTGATTGGCTGGAGGGAGACAAGAGGTGTGTTCCCAGCTGGAGGGAGGTAGAGGAAACCTCCAAAGGCTGCTGGACCAAACAATTGGGGGTGGAGCATGTAAAGGCTACAAGGACCTATTTAAACCCTCTCAGGCTCAGGCAAAGGAGGAGGTAGCTGGGGCTGCTTCTGTCTCAGAGCCAGCACAAAAGGAACAAGCAGGGAGCACCCTAATGGAAGAAGGAGAACCTGGGTGAGCACAACTCCCTCCCATATTTGAGGTCTGAGGGCCCAGACCCCACCTCCGGCTGGAAGCCACAAGAATGTTCCCGTCACCAGGCTCAGTTCATCCCTTCTCTGCTGCAGTGCCCCACTAGGCCAGACCAAGCCACATTTCTATGGCTGCCCTTCCCCATGGTAGTCCAGCATGGCCCAAGACTCTCACATGGGGAAAAGAGCAGCAAAGAGTCTTCAACAGAAACTCTTATGGCCAAACACATGCCTCAGAGACCCTTGTCTGTCTGTCTGTCTGTCTGTCTGTCTGTCTAGCAATCTATCAATCGTTGTCAGTCTCTCTGTCCCTCACACTGATGGCTGTTACAGGCTGGGGGTGGGGTCACCATCACAATAGGAGGGGCCTTTAAATTACCACTGCCCCAACAGCTAAGTGGTGGCATTCCAGGTAGCCAGGCAAAATGTGGGGGCCAGACAGAGCCACAACTGCTGCTGGAATGACTCCCAATGTATCAGAAGAGAAGAAGCTCTTGCAAGAGGCTGGGAGCCTTGATGGGACATGCGTAGCTTGCTGTGCTATCTTTAAAAGTCTGGGAGTTAGTCAAGGAGGATGATCTCAGCTACCAGCTCCAGGCTACAGAAGAGGGGATCCAGCAGGTGGAGAAGAGGAATGGCACCCTGAAGCCTACTGCTCATCTGAGGCCAAATGGGGACAAGGGGATGGGGCTCTGGAACAGGTATGGAGCCTGAGCACTGATACTCCTCTCATGTGTACTCTTTTTGTTTGTTTTGTTTAAAATAATAGACTCCCACCCTGCTTTAGTTGTAAATGGGTAGGGACTTGTATAAATACATATTCCCCACCCCCAGCCATGTCCACTTTTGCCTAATCATAGTCCTGGTGGCAGTTGCTGTTTTAGAGTTAATTCCTATGTTACTAAAATACATGGAAAACTGCATGGAGTAACTTGAGTATGAATTGAACATGTATACAAAGACAGCCATGGGTATTTTCATGATTAGCTGCAACTGTCACATGGTTGGCATACAACTATTGCAGAAATGGCTGCAGCTGTCTGTGTGTAAGTGGCTTTGTGGGCTAACTACACACTACATGCAAACACATGTAACAGATCCTTGACTCACTCTTTAAAATTAATTGCTTTGAAAAGCAGCTTTGGCAGCAGATACCTAATACTTTCCCTGTCACCATGTGTTTGCTTAGAGTTGTACCCCAAATGGCCTTTGTTCCCTTGAGATTCCAGATGATCATAAAAATAACTGCACAGAAATGCCAGGCAGGCGCAGGGTTAAGTGCCCCCTCTCCCTCCTGATTCTCTGGTCTAAAATTTACTCTATGGAAGCTGGGTTTTTAAAATTGTGATTGAAACCCTGTTACATGTTTTTGTGTATAAAGCATAGTTTGTTGCTGACAGACCAAGAGGCTGTTTGGTACACAGTATGTGTCTTACAAAGACAGCTGGACAACCTCCTTCCTCCTGTTTCCCAATTTTGATTGTTGTCTCCTGAATCATATGTTCCATGGATGAAGTCACAAGGAACTAAAATATAGAATTTACAGCAGCAGTTCTGGCCTTAAAGCTAAGGCCTTCATGATCCCTAACAGTAACCTGCCTCCTCTTTGGCCATTTACTATGCTTGCACAGTTTTCAGCCCATCAGTTCCACAATAAGTGCAATAGTAATAACGAGGGCCACATCACTTCTCTTGTTTCTAGGGGGACCAGGGCTCTTGTTTCTAGGGGGACTAGGGGGACCAGGGCTCAACAGTCTGGCAGGGAGAAAGGGAGGAATCAGTGCTCTCCTGACTTTGCAATGGCACAAGCTAGAAGTGATGGCAGTGCGTTAGACTGAATGCTCTAGCATTCTCCTAAACCCTGTAGTAAAACCACAGTGTGTTGCTAGCTCCAGGTTGGGAAATGCCTGGAGATTTTGGGTGTGGCGCCCAGGGAGGGACCTCAGCAGGGTGTAATGCCATAAAGTGTATCCTCCAAAGTAGCCATTTTGTCCAGGAGAACAGATGTCTGTAGTCTGGAGATCAGTTGACATTCTGGGATGTCTGCAGGCCCCACCAGGAGGTTAGCAACCTTTAACCATAGTTTCAGAACAATACTCCAGGGTTGCCCTGATGTGTTGATTTCACTTCCAATTTGCTCCAGAAGTGACATTGTGACACTAGGAATGCTGGAACCCTTGTTGCTCCTGATCAGTCATATGCCAGTACTAGCCAGTAACATCAGCAAATTGTTACCACATGATTAGCTGAGCTCAGCACAGTACCAATACCTTGGAAGTTCCAAGGGTTGCCAGTCTAGCTTGGGAAATTCCTGGATATTTGGGGGATAGAGCCTGGGGAGGGCAGTTTGGGGATGTAGGGGAGCAGAGCTCAGCAGCGATGGGATGCCATCATAGAATCTACCCTCTGCAGCTTCTGTTTCCTCCATGGGAACTGATCTCTGTAGTCTGAGGCTCAACTGGAATTCTGGGAGAATGTCAGGCACCATGGAAGTTGGCAACTCTATTCCACAGCAGTAGGCTGACATATATAAACTTCCCAAGAGAAGTACTGGAATGAATGGTGCTAATAACAGTTACAAAATTAAAATGGACTTCTAAGTATTAAGATAAAAATCAATGTTAGCAGTTTATGATTCACTGACTAATTTCCATATAAATGATGACTAATAAGCATTCAAATTACATCCCTGAAGCCTCGTTGCACGGTTCAGTTTGGATGGTGCCAATTTGACCCCATAAAACTCACTCTGACCGCGCCCCCCCCCTACATTTTCATTGGCATGACTCCATGCCATCACTATTGGCCATTAATATTTGATTGACTTGGGCTGTTCAATTGTTATACCGTAGTAGTTTGGTTTTGGCTGGATTTTAATTGGTATTGCTTATTTTGATTGATTGCTGCCAGCCACCCTGAAAATTTGAGAGGTGGAACATAAACATTGTAATAGGTAAATAAATGATAAGGCCTGCTCTGTCGTTCAGAGATTGAGCATTTTGTGCTTGGCTATATCATCTTAATTCTCCAGTGCCTTGTGTTGCACTGTGCTAATATTTAATTATGTATTTATATATTGGATTTGTGAATCGCCCAGTTCCTGTGAGCACAAGGCTCTGGATGTGGGCGATAAGATATAAGCAGGACACCTCTTGTTCAAATGATAACTTATGAACTCCATGGATGTTCGTAGGCAAGCTGTTATCACTGAGTCTTACAGTGCAGTCTTACCCGTTGACTTCAATAGACTTAGAGTGCAATCGTGCTTAGTGTAACTTTGCTTAGGACTGCACTGTAAATGTCTTTCCCATGTTTAAAATATGTTTTAAGGTTTACTTTGCAATGCTTAAGAAAAACAGCAACACTATAAATGCTAAGTATTAACCTGTCGGTGTCATCAGGGAGTCTTTCCCAAAATATTATTTGTGTCTATGAATCAACTCACGCTTGATCTTTACTGCATATACATTATCATGCATACAGTAGAGCTGTTTTGAAAATGCTCCCATTTGAAATAAATTCTAACTAGGTTTAGGCTAGCCCTTTTATCACTTACATATTCCCTAAAGACCCGCTTCATGATGCATAAAAAAACCTTGCTGACTTAAGTAATTTTCTAATGTATTTCATTTACTTGTCTTATTACTGGCCAGCTCACTTACTGACATAAGATCATTAGAGAAGAAGCTGTAAATAGCTGTGGGAGAAAAAGCAGAAGGGAGTAGAAAAGGGAAATAAGGGTAAATGGAGAGATGTATGAGGTTTTAAAAATATTAAGTTGTCCCTGTAAGATGTGTTTGTCACCACCATAGGCAATTTTGCATATATGTTTATGTTATTCTCTTTCTTTTGTTCTCTTCCACTTACCTTCTTCAATATTTTTATATATATGTTTGTAACAGTTACTGTAACAGTTACTGTAACAGTAACTGCGGTGGCTCAAGTGGTTAAGACGCTGAACTGCAGGCTGTAGAAGGTCAGTAATTCAGCAGTTCGAGACCTGGGTGCCGCATGACGGAGTGAGCTCCCGTCTCTAGTTCCAGCTCCTGCCAATCTAGCAGTTCGAAAGCAAGAAATTGCAAGTAGATAAATAGGTACCACTTTGGTGGGAAGGTAACAGCGTGCCGTGCGGCTTGGTGTTTAGTCATGCCAGCCACATGACCACGGAAACGTCTTCGGACAGCGCTGGCTCTTCGGCTTTGAAACTGAGATGAGCACCGCAACCCTAGAGTCGGACTCGACTGGCTTTCAAGCAAGGGAACCTTTACCTTTTTAACAGTTATAACAATGGTGGGATTAAGTTGAAAAGAGAGTTTTTGTGCATCACATTTTCATTTTAGTACATTCTGTGTTTTTACTCCCTCCCAACCACGCTTCATGAACCATTAAGCACAATAAAGCATTGTAGAGCTGGCAGATATTTTTATTTGTGGTATCCCATCATGATCTCTGAAGAAAGTGGGTTTGCAGCCCTTAGTAGCATTTGAAGCTGTATCTTAGAAAAGCCCCCAGATCAAACCTTTTGTAACACATGGATATACATTTTTGACATGACATTTCTGCTGGATACTAGCCAAGACAAGTAACTTAAAAAAATAGTAAAAGGTTGGTCATGTTGCTTTCAGTGTTCCCTCTCAGCTGAGTAAGTGTGAGCTAGCTCACTGTTTTTTAGCCTCCAGCTCACAGATTTTTGTCTTCGCTCAGGAAGGATGGCTCCAGAACAAACTAATTTATGCAGGAGCCAAATCACTCACTCACAACTTTAATGCCAGTAGCTCACAAAGTAGAATTTTTGCTCACAAGACTCCACAGCTTAAGGGGAGTATTGGTTGCTTTAGACAGTTTTTTATTATTCGGTTACATTGTCTTCAGTTCTAACACACTGTGTTGTTTTGTTTTATTAGCGATTTGGGTGGTTTGATTTAATTTGGTTTTTATATTTTGTAATCTGCCTTGGGTCTGCTACAGGGATGCCACTGTCATTTTTAAAAATGCCACAGGTCCCTGATCCTGATCTAAAATATGAGCTTTCATGCCAGTTTTGGCCCTTGAAAAGGTGCTGGGAAAGAAACAAGAGTGCCTTAGCCCACTGTGCCATGGACCCAGTCGGTATTGGACTTTTGTGGCATTTTTAAACCATTTAAAAAAGGTGGCAGCATCCCCATGGTGGACATGACGATGCCGTCATGTCTAGTTTGGTTCTCAAGGAGAAAGACAGCATATAAAATGAATAAATAAATGTGTGACCAAATAGTCCCTTTTCAGACAAGAATTGAAAGTGTTAGTTACCTGGAAAGTAAATAGATCAGAAGTTGCTTGCAATCTGGTGTAGTCTATTTCACATCTCCTTTGACATTTGCTTACCTAAGTACAACAAATACAGTTTGAAAAATTATGCAGACAGGTCTTAACCCTCACCAGGTCTTCATCTTCCCTCTTCAGCCCTCTATTATGTTTGCAGTTATCAGGGCTTGATCAGGGCTAATGCAACAGCAATAGCAAGGGGCACATCATTCCTCTTGCGCCAGGTCAGTGTCTGCTCTCATACAGCCAGGTCCATTGCCATATAATCAGGCGTGCTCAACACAGTATCAGTACCTTGCAAGTCTGTCCTTGTAGTTGGCTGAAGCATAAGCAGATAAACCTCCCAAACTGCACTCCTAAGTATTAAGACAAAAATCAATGCTAACAGTTTACAATTCATGGGCTAATTTCCATATAAATGACTTGACTAATACCTATTTCAAATATGTCACTTGTGTAATTTCCCCCTCAACCCACTGTTTCCCCTTCATTTGATGTTTCTTTGAAGCATTTGGCTTGTACTGTCTACCTAACATTTGCATTTGTTGTGTTTTTATATTTGACAGTATATCAGTTACAACAGGAGGCACCTCGTCCCAAGAGAGTGATGTGTCCTCGCGAGGTCAGTTCACCTTTCTCTATATCTTAAGTTGAAGGAATTGTCGAGAACATGTTGACATTGTCTATCCTCACCTTTTCTGTGTACTACATTCTTTTTATATACCCAACAGCTTGTTTTTATATATTACAAGGTGAATTGTTGAAAAAAATTAGTTGATATGTGCTATTAATATGGAATTATACATCTTTACCATTAATGTCACTGAGATGTTATTTTCAGCAGTATCCCAAGAATTTGTCTATATTCATCATATTTTTGTGTTTATGTATTATAGATTCAGGTGGATAGCCATGTTGGTCTGAAGCAGCAGAACAAAGAGTCCAGTGGCACCTTTAAGACCAACAAAGTTTTATTCTAGGTATAAGCTTTCATGTGCATGCATACTTCTTTCGATACAGTGAATTAAGATGTTCTCAACCATTATATATAGGTACAGGGAGGTGGGGGGTCAGTTGGTAGGAAGGGCTAGTTAAGAGTTGACATACTTAAATAACTGGGCAATTAAAGTGGTTGGTAAGATCTGTGAAGAGCAGTAAATTAACACTCAGTGGGGGACCTCAAAGTAGTTGTTTTATTGCAAAGGAATTTCAGTCTGGAATGGGAGATTGCTGAATTACAAGCTATTACAACACTTAGAACAATGGAAACCCCAGGGCTTAACAGAGACATCAGCTCCTTATCCCACTACACATGTTAAATTACTCAATTCTCACTTATACCCAGAATTAAAGGTGCCACTGGACTCAATTCTGTCATCTGTTGTTGATTCCTTAATTAACTGTATGCCAATTTGCTACTATGCATAGGTCTTACCAATTGCATTATTCCAATCTTAGCTGTATTTATTGCTCAGTTATCTTGATTCTAATTAGCCCTTCCTGGCAACTACCCCGCCCCCACCTATATGTAACATTTGAGGAAATCTGTTTCAGTGTATCTAAGAAGTGTGCATCTACACATGCTAAGTCTCTCAGTTCTTGCTTATACCCAGAATTGAACTTTGTTGGTCTTGAAGGTGCCACTGGACTCAAACTCAGTTCTTAATCTGTTTGTAAACTCTTGTACTTGTATGCTAATTTACTGCTGTTCACAGATCTTACCAACTGCTTTAATCCAATATCAGCTATAATTGTCCAGTTACTTATGGGTCTTGACTCTAACTAGCCCTTCCTGACAACTAACCCCCACCGCCTATATGTAATGGCTGAATATGTCTTGTTTCACTGTATCTGAGGAACTGCACACAAAAGCTTATACCTTGAATAAAACTGTTGGTCTTAAATATGCCACTGGATTCATAGTTAAATGTGTTTTTGTAGCAAATGTCTTGCTGTTTCTCTAGGTGTACAGTCTCCATTCCATCTGTGGAACAGTTTAATTTTGACAAATATCACAGAATACTGTTGAATTAATTAGGCAGACTCTGTCTGCTATTTAAAATATGAAGACAATATAAGAAATTGATAAGGCTGTTTAGTCTTTGGCTGTTTCCCTGTTTGGTTTCCCACAATTCCCAGTTAAAATGTTCTGTTTCTTACACCATGCTCAAACCAAATTTGTTCCTAAAATGTAAGATAGTAATGTCAGGTGCTGTTTGCAACACATCCTGAATTGAGTCACAGATTTGTGTGTGTGTGTTGGGAAAGAAAACACCTTGTTAAAAAAGGTTCTTCCTTTCTAAGATGTTCCAAGTGATGTTTGCAAAGCTGTTGCAGGGAACACTGAAACTGTTCTCAGTGAAGGGCACAGACCTGCTGCATCCATTCATTAGGAGTACAGACAGATGTGCTAGAAAATATGCATTCAAGTGGCAGGCTGAAGTCCCGCTGCCACTAAATAGGTAAGTATCCCATGGATATCCATCACAGTCTGACACTTCAGGTACTTATTGATAAACAGATGTACTTGAAGGGAGGTCTCTTTCCAGCCTACCCTTTGAAATAAAGCTATTTCATGTCAGTGATCTGTTGCAACTTGTTTGAGAACTTGGTTGGTTGTTGGGAAGAGCACAGTTTCAAGCAAGCATGGGAAAGACCTTCCCAGCCAGCCATTATATTGATGAATCAAAAATCAGGCAGTGGTGTTTACATAAGTAATTCTTCCTTGTTCTTTGCAGACCCACAAAGAGCCAACCACAGATCATTCTGAGAGAAAGCAGGACAGTTTGTTTCATTTTTGTCTGGCCTTCTCTCAGAAATAAGCTGCATTGTTTAGTTTATCTGTCTCTTCAGTTGGATAGAGAAAGGTGTAACTCTGCTTAGGATGATGCTGTTAATGGGTTTTAGTAGTTCTCATCTGTTTTGCTAAGGGCAAACAAAATTAGCTTAGAAACAAAGCATTTCAACCTTTTTAGCCGTCCTGTTAGAAATCTGGAAATGATTGACTTATAGTATTTCATTCACAAATTGTTATAATTAGGGTATGATTTGGTAAATGTATGGTGCAGCATGTTTGGTTCTCTCTCTTGTAGCTCCCTTGGTGGGCTTTCTCCATTCTCAAAGAAAGTGGCTAGGGAAGGAGGAATGGGTGAGCTGAACAGCAGCCCACGACACCAAGACATTACTTCCAGCTGCGTAACAAGAAGTGATGTCACCTCATCACAAGATACTCCAGGATTCACCCGGAACAATATGGTTTTTACCGCAGAGTGTTGGGTGAATCCTAGAGTATGAAAGGATACAGTGATGTAACTTCCAGTTACGCATCCAGAAGTTATGTTGCAGTGTTGTTTGATGCTATGTATGTGTTTCCCCCCCCATCTCCTGGAGGTTGCAGGCCCTCAGCTGACAACCCTACATTGCATATTGGAACACATTTGTCCCACTTGCTGTACTAACAGATACCAATGTACCTATGTTGGTTTATATTGTGCACTGTCACAAACTTGTATATCTTTAGCACAGGAGAACCACAGTTTGCAAACTTCAAGTTGCTTCCTTACAGGTGTATGTGGAAGGAAATAACTGAATGGTGATACATCTTTGTCACTTGCTATTAGTCAGATACGTTGTTTACAGCTGTGCCAGTCCAAAAGTAAAATCCACAAAAGACAAGAACGTAGTCCATGTAATACCTTTTATTAGGACCAACCTAATGACACATTAGAGTATACAGGCTTTCAAGTTCTCCAGAATTCTTCATCAGGACAGATGTTATAAAAGAAAAGGGGGGGGACAGATTTTTCAGGTCATGATTTTGTCATGCCAACATGCAATGGATCTTATCAAGCAAAGATTAATCATGTTTCAAGTTGCTGCAATCTAGGGGCAATAAAAACAAGAGGTAATGAATCAAACTCCATAGCAACAAGTCACCCTCAGTGCCCGTAATTTCCATGTGTCTTATTGCATAGCAGATACTCAGCAAAACACTGGGAAAGTGATTGGCCAAATACTTGTGAAGCACATGGCTGTATGTTACAAAGACACATCCAAGAATTCTCCTGCCATTTCTCTTTATGAAAAGGTGGCATAAAAAGTGTTTCCAAATTACCATGTTTTGAAGGAAGTGGCTCAGAAGGCAATCTAAAAAACTAAAATGGTTCTAAAATTTCTATATAAAAGATAGAAAATGGCTTTCAGTTAAATGACAGCAATGTTCTGAAGTGTCTGCTTTAATGATCTCAGCAGCTAAGTCCTACACTAAGTGAAGTCAAGGAGACTTCCCTGCAACCATGCACAGTATTTCAGCTAAAGTATGCATTTTTTACTACATTGGAGATACATATAAAGTATGGTAGGTTGCAGCACAAGTAACATCACATGTGTTGGCAATTTATTGCTAAAATTATCTTAGATGAAAGACCACATAGGGAGGAAAGTTGATGTAACACAATGCAAAAATCATGTCTGACTAAATTAAAAGGGACTGATGTCAAAGAGAAATGAAAGGTTAAAAAGGAATGGGGAAGAATATCCGATGGATTTTATACCCTGTCTAATTATCTCAGGTTTATCCATAGAACTATGAATGCTTCAAAAATTCCTTTCCACTGAATTTATCCCATCCCACCCCCTGATGTTTGGTGCTTTGGTTTACCTGCTTCTAGTCATGGAACAGCATGTATGATTATTTTGTTATCCATCATTCATTCAGTTTGGTGTTTAGATTTTATAGATTCCTGCTCAAATTGGTATTCCGGCAGCCTTCCATTACTTTCACAGACAGTATTTGTTTTGTGCTAACAGATAAGTTATGCACATAAATGAAACTCAGTCCAATTATTTTGAGCTTCCTGATCCATGTGCACAGCCACATTTTCGCAATGGAAGGCTCAAAAGTACACGTGCACTTAAATTACATTTAAAACTTATTTACCTTTCATGAAATTTCACGAGATGTTTGGTGCTCTGGTTTACCAGCTTCTAGTCATGGAACAGCTGGAAAGTGTCTTGATGTTATCCATAATTCATTCAGTTTGGTTTTTAGATTTTATAGATTCCTGCTCAGATTGGTATTCCGGCAGCCTTCCATTACTTTCACAGACAGTATTTGTTTTGTGCTAATAGATAAGTTATGCACACAAATGAAACTCAGTCCAATTATTTTGAGCTTCCTGATCCATGTGCACAGCCACATTTTCGCAATGGAAGGCTCAAAAGTACACGTGCACTTAAATTACATTTAAAACTTATTTACCTTTCATGAAATTTCACGTACATCTTCTCATTAAGATAGTTTCAGAGGGTAGCCATGTTGGTCTGCGGTAGAACAGTTAAGATTCAAGTCCAATAGCACCAATGAGAGTTTCAGGGTAGAAGCTTCCGGGAGTCAGAGTTCCTGTCATCAGACATGAATAGAAATGGAGATCTCTGAGACCCTTTATACTAGTCAGGGTATTGCAAATGGCAGGATCTAGGGGCACTAAGCAAAATAAACAAAAAGACAGGTTCTTTTTGTATTTACAATCCAAGTAGCATCTGATTTGGGTGCCCGGCTGGCACATCTGCAACTCTCTAGCATCAATCCCCTCTGTCATCCTTCATGGCAAAACACATGCT